AAGAGGGCGGCGGGCAGGCCGGCGGAGCACGCCTCGGCGCTCCTATTGGCTGGAGGTGACGCCCATCTGGGTCCCGAGGCCCGACAATTGGCCGGCGGGGGAGGAGTTCGCGGAGCCCCAATGAATGGGGGAGCCGGAAGCAGGAAGTGAGTTTGCGATCGGAGCCGCGGCAGCAGGTGAGGCGCGGCGCCTGGGTGTGGGGTCATAATGTGTCATCCTCGGGGGACAGGGCGAATCTGGACCGGGTGCAAGACCATTCCCTTTCTCCCCCCATCCGTACCCCTTCTAAAGCCATCGAGGCCCCGAGCTGAGGAATGCCCCTGGCAGCAAAGGGTTAACGCCCCTTGCAGAACCTGGGCGATTGTGCTTTGGGGGCGGAGCATCGGGGCGGCAGGGGATGCGAGAGACACTTGACCCGCCAGGGCGGGAGGACGGTGTGGAGAATGTCCTGGGTTGGGAGACCCCTGGGTGCCTACAGGCAGTGAGATCTTCGTAAGTTACTTGGTCTCGCTAAGCCTCAGCCTCCGTATCTGTAAAAAGTGAGTTTTCTTCCAGCGCCGAACTTGGGTGGCTCTGTAGCTCCCCCGGCCGAGCACAGGGAGAGAGCAGCAGGATGCAGGGGACAGATCCTGCGAGCACTGAGAGAGGAAAAGGAAAAGGAAAAGCATTAACTGCTGTAGGTACATTCCGTCAGCGGTGACCTTATCTAATTTGCACGCCCACCTGGTGAGGTTGGGGTTGTTACCACCTCCTGCCCCCCCCCCCCCCCCCCCCTTGTACAGAGGCGGAGACCGAGGCCCAGAAAAGTGAAAGAGTTGACTTGATTTTAGGAGTCTGGGACTGAGCCAGGACTGGAACTGGGTCTTCCAGCCGGTAGCCTGGGGCTCTGTCCTTGTGAACAAGGGGTGAGTGGAACTGAAGAACCTGCAGGAGAATTTTGAAGGCCAGGAGGTCAGGAGGAGCGGGTAGCCAGAGAAGGATGTGGGCTGGGCGTCTAGAAATGCAGGTCTCTGCTTCTGACCCTTCCCTTGTGTTGTTGGGCACAGCTCCTAACCTCTCTGGACCTCAGTTTCCCCATCTGTAAGACTAGGTAGTTGGATTCAATATTTAAGGTTGAGGGGCCACAGGCCAAATATGGAATTACAATGTATTTTGTAATTTCCCTGGGTGAGCCACCTAACCTTCTCGGAGTGTCAGTGAGCATATCTGGTGAATGGGTACAATGGCATTTCCTTCCTCATGGGCTTTGGGGAGGATTAAATGAAATCATGCGAGTGCAGAGCCAGGGGTGCAATTGATGTGGTGTAAATGACGGCTGTGATGATGGTAATGGTTCTCAGCAGGACCCATGGCGGACACCCAGTACATCCTGCCCAATGACATCGGCGTGTCTAGCCTGGACTGCCGCGAGGCCTTCCGCCTGCTGTCGCCCACAGAGCGCCTCTATGCCCACCACCTGTCACGCGCCGCCTGGTATGGAGGCCTGGCTGTGCTGCTGCAGACCTCCCCGGAGGCCCCCTACATCTATGCCCTGCTCAGCCGCCTCTTCCGTGCCCAGGATCCGGATGAGCTCCGCCAGCACGCCCTGGCTGAGGGCCTTACGGAGGAGGAGTACCAGGTCAGTTCTTTCAGGCCAACCTACATTTCATAAATGGTCTGTGGGTGTGAGGGACCAGGAAGGAGGGGGATAAAGGTCTTTCTCTCTCTTTGGATTAAGACCCAAAATTACAAATACTGGAGCCTCAGTCTTCTCATTTGCAAAATATGCACAAGGGTAGTCTATACCTCTTAGAGTTGTGGTGACCTGCCTCCAAGATAAAGTTTGGCTGCAGTGATTGTAACAGGGCTGTGAATAAAGAAAACAGCTGGAGATTCAGAGATGGTGGAGGAATGAGGCCAGGGTAGGAATCAGGTCTGTGTGTGGACCAGTCCCTGGGCAAAATATTCTTCCTGTCCCTGGTGTTTGTTTGTGGGTCGGTTGGCCAAATAATACATGAATGCATTCTTAACCACTGAGGACAGCAGGGTGGACAGCATTTTCAACCCTCTGGATCACAGACTCCCACAGACTCCCACTCTCAGTTCCTTATTTTCTCTTTTACATAAATGAGATCATTTTCTCTGTGTTCCTCTGAGCCCTGCTTTTTTCACCGAACACCATGTCTTGGAAATTTTTCATGGGATACATATAAATCCACCTCATTCTTTTTTTTTTTTTTTTAATATATTTTATTGATTATTTACAGAGAGGAAGGGAGAGAGATAGAGAGTTAGAAACATCGATGAGAGAGAAACACCGATCAGCTGCCTTCTGCACATCTCCTACTGGGGATGTGCCCGCAACCCAGGTACATGCCCTTGACCAGAATCGAACCTGGGACCTTTCAGTCCACAGGCCAACTCTCTATCCACTGAGCCAAACCGGTTTCGGCCACCTCATTCTTTTTTATTGGCTGCGAAGCATTCCACAGCAGTGTACACTATAATCAATATGATCTTTTCTTTATTGCTGGACGTTAATTGTTCCCAGTTCTATAAGCAGTACCACAGTGAGCATATCTGTGCACGTGGGTGAGTAGGATCTATTTCTAGGAGTAGAATTGCCGGGGCAAAGACTCGGTACAGTTACCGTTGGTCGGTGCTGGTAAGTCATCTTCTAAAAAAGCTTCACCAAGAATATATGAGGCTGTGGCCTGTGTTTCTAGATGTAAAATAAAGGGGTTGGATTGCTTATCTCTGAGCTGAGGCCCAGGCGGTTTCTTCTATCTTTTTCAACCTTTGTGTAATCACATCCCATCTCTAGGCCTTGATTCACTCATTAAAAGAGCTAAAAGCTGGGGAACTGCTTATAAATGGAAAAGCGCTGCTCAAGTACTCCTATTTCCAGTGGATTCCTTTGTAAGAAGCAGAAACTCACCTCAAATTGACTTAACTGAAAAAGGACATCATGACTTCTAGTTTCTGGCCCGGCATGTAAAGAGCTTAGAAGTCTCCAGTCTGTCCTAATGACAAGTTAAAAAGCTGGACAAACTGAAAGTCAGCAACTCTTCTTAGATCACTGGGTGAAGTGAGGTCACAGGGCAAACTCTTGTTCCCCAAATTGGAGAGAGGCAGGCAGGACAGAGAATTACAACTTATCAGAGCAAAACTTCATGAGCAGAAACCTCCACTGGAACCAGTGCTGGGGGAGAAAAACCTGAGCTGAAATTGGCGACTTGCTCAGTGTGGACAACTCTGAGCTTTAAAAACTCCAGAGGGACCCAGTCATATGGAGCGGGGGGGAGGGAGGGAGGGGGATCCCCACACTCTTGAAGATTTTACCTCCAGGATCTTGACCTAGTTCTCAGAATGAATCTCCGAGGTAAAGCCCCTCGTGGTTCCTGCAGGAGGAGGAGAGAAGGAGTCATTTTTGAAATGTGCTAAACATTCTGTTCTTAACAATGCCCTCAGGAGAAACTGTTTAGCCAGAGCCTTATGGTGGGGTTTTGTCAGAACATGACTGACCTGGGGGAAAGGAAATAACCGACCCCAGCCCACTCTAGCCATCCCGTCCCACCTAAGAGGGAGTCAGGGACGTGGAACTGTGAAGCACATGTGAGGTTCTCAGTCCAGAGGCAAAGGCTCACTGAAAGACAGACCTGCCTGGCCCTGTGGCGTCAGCCTATGAACCAGAAAGTCACTGCTGGATTCCGGGTCAGGGCACATGCCTAGGCTGCAGGCTCCATCCCCAGTAGGGTGCATGCAGGAGGCGGCCGATCAATGATTCTCTCTCATCATTGATGTTTCTATTTCTCCCTCTCTCTTCCTCTCTGAAATCAGTAAAAATATTTTTAAAAAAGCAAAACAGAAAAACAAGTCAGACCTTTAAAGTAAATTTTAAAAAAAGTAAAAGACTGAGACCTGATTGTGGGACCATAGAATGCTTTCCCTGCCCCCAAACCTACCACCACATTCCTGAAGCCCTCTTTACAGCAAGCAGCTCCTTTTAGCTAGTGCCTCATGTCTGGCTATCAAGAATAAATCTACAAAACATGCCAAAGGCAAAAAACATGGGTTGAAAAGACAGAGCAAACATCAGAACCGGACTCAGATATGACAGGAATGTTGGACTTCTCAGATTACGAAACTATGATTAATATGTTAAGGGCTCTAATGGATAAAGTAGACCATGTGGAAGGAAGATGAGCAATGCAAACAGAGGTGGGAATTCTAAGGAAGAACCCTGGGCAGACTCTGCTGAAGCTCAGAAACACTAACAGAAGAAGAATGCCCTTGAGGGGTTCATTAGGAGACGGGACCCTGCTGAGGAAAGAATCTCTGAGTTTGGGGATATCTCAATAGAAACCTCCAAAACTGAAAAGCAAAGAGAAAAAAGATAGGGGTGGGGTGGGGTCAGAACAGAATATGAAAGAACTGTGGGACACCTATAAGAGGCATAAATTTATGTAATGGGAATATCAGAAGGAGGAGAGAACAGAAGGAAATCGGAAACAATAATGACTGAGAAATGTGTTGCCAGTGGACCTGTTTTGCAGGAAATGTTCAAAGAAGTTGTTTAGAGAGAAGGAAAGGATATAGGTCAGAAACTCATCTCTACATTGGTGATGTAGGAAGAGCATTGGAGAAGGAATAAGTGAAGGTAAAATAAAAGCTTGTTTTTTCTGATTCTTCATGGATCTAAGAGAGAGCAATTAGTTCAAAATCATGGCAACAGTGTATTCAATTACATGTGTCTGTCTGTATGTAAATAAAACTTATGTATGTTACGTATAAGTGAGATAAATGACAGCAATGACACAAGGGCGGGAAGGCGGAAATTAGGATTATTTTTTTTTTATTATAAGGTACTGCTACCACCCAGGAAAGTGTATAGTGTTATTTGAAAGTGGACTTGGGTTAGTTGTAAATGTATTTTGGGTGAAGGGAGATGTGAGGTTTTGTGGCCGGAGGAAGGGAGACTGTTTTGGGCCAGCAAAAGCCATAGAGTAGATGACCAGTACCGCTCCAGCCCTAACAGTGGATGCTGCCGGTGCCAGCTAGCTGCCAGGTTGGGGGCAGAGGACAGCAGGTTTGCTGCACAATACCGCTCCAGCCCTAACAGTGGATGCTGCTGGTGCCAGCTAGCTGCCGGCCAGGTTGGGGGCAGAGGACAGCAGGTTTGCTGCACAAGGAGGCGGTGTTTAAACTGGGCCTTGAGGTCATATGGGATGGCCGCAGGTGGCTGAGAGGGTGCTGGGCGAAGTGGGGACAAAGGTGGGTGAGCACCTGGATATGTTTGGGTGCTGCTGAGACCAGTTTGGAGGGACAGTGGGTGTGTGAAGATTGGTCTGTGAAGGTATGTTGGGGCCAGGTGGGGGCCTTCCGGGACCTGGGTCCTGCCCCCAGATTTCCCAGCCTCACCCATACTGGTTCCTCTGGGTGTTACCATCTCAGGAGGGAACTTCCCCGGGTGGGGAGGCTGTGCCTCCAGGTGTCTGATCCCCACCTCCCCCCAGGCGTTCCTGGTCTATGCCGCGGGGGTCTACTCCAACATGGGCAACTACAAGTCCTTTGGCGACACCAAGTTTGTGCCCAACCTGCCCAAGGTGAGCTGAGGTGGGGGCTGGGGAAGGTCGGGATTTCGGGGCCAGTGGGGTGGGTTCGGGGCCCTGAGCGGAGCATCCACCCTGTCACTGCCATCTGCATGACCTCGGGTCAGCCACCCAGCCTCGCTGGGTGCTGCAGCCTCCTCCTGGCCGTGCTGACCCAGGGGGTGGGCGAGGGGAGGATGTGGAAGTGCTCTGCAAACTCTTAGGTGCTTGCAAAAACGAAGCCTGCTGGCACGGGGAGTCCCTCCCTGGGACTGGGGCTCGGGCCCACCTGGGGCCGAGGCAGCCGTTGCACCAGGGCTCCCTGCCCCTCCCGTGCACACGGACTGCCTGGCGATCTTGTAGAAATGCAGCTTCTGGTAGAGAAGTCTCGGGTAGGGCCCAAGGCTCGACGTTTCTCGGGCATTGCCAGTGCTGCTGGCCCATCGGTCGCCGGAGGTCTTACGTTGTGGGATGAGAGCTTGGGGCGATGTGGAGGCTCCAGGGCAGGTCTGGGCAGTGTGGCCAGGCCAATGGACTCCTTCCCCGGCAGGAGAAGCTGGAACGCGTGATCCTGGGGAGTAAGGCCGCTCAGCAGCACCCAGGAGAAGTCAGGGGCCTCTGGCAGACCTGCGGGGAGCTCATGTTCTCTCTGGAGCCGAGGCTTCGACACCTGGGGCTGGGGAAGGAGGTAAGACTCCCCACCACACGGGAGTGGGGGGCTTCCCTTGAGGCCAGCTGGTGTGGTGCGGAGAGAGAGGCCGTGGCCTCTGCCTTGCGCTCATGAGGCAAAGCTGCTCCCCCCCCCCTCAGGCCTCAGTTTTGCCAGCTGTAAAATGAAAAGCAGCTCGGGTAGCATGCTTTCTGGCACCCTGGGGTGCTGTGTGCAGAAGGAGGGAAGGAGAGAAGAGCTGAGGGCTGGAGATCGAGGCGGAGGGAAGGAAAGGAGGGGGTTCAGGCTTCCCGTCTCTTGGGCGCTGCATGGGGTGAGCACATGGCAAGCCGTGGAGTTGGGCCGGCCTGTGAGAGGCTGGAGCAGAGCTGCGGGTCGCTGGAGATGGGCCTGTTTCCTCTGTTGTTTGATTTACAGCTTTTTCCCCTGGAAAGAGATGGAGGGGACAGGGTGGAGGCTGCTGAGGAGATGTGGGAGGCCTGGGGCTAGAGAGGGGGCGCTGGGAAGAGGTTCACCAGCTGCCCCTGCAGTCCCCAACCTCCGCAACTTCTTTCCATCTGCCCCCTCCCCCACAGGGCATCACCACCTATTTCTCTGGGGATTGTACCATGGAAGATGCCAAACTGGCCCAAGACTTTCTGGACTCACAGGTTTGGGGAACTTGGGGTAGTGGTTTGATGAGGGCCCCCTCGCCACTGGCACTTACTCCTGGGTCTCGGCTTGGGTCCGTGATGCCCCCACCCCAGGCTGAAGGGCCCTATGACAGCCTCCAGACAGGTCGAGGCAGAACATCAGAGCTGCTGGGGAGTCCCATGCGGGGTTCACCTCCCGGCTCAGCAGCTATGTGCCCCGTTTCTTTGCCTGTGAAGTGGGCCCTGCCTTGCGTAGCCCTGGGTTAGCTGTCAGGCGGTGCTTGGCACAGTTGAGTCAGCGCTTCGTAAAAGTTCGTGCTCAGGGTACTGAGCAGAGCAGGAGCGTTTCCCCGCTCTCCCCTCCCAGCCAGCTCGGGCAGGTCCCCCGGAGCCCCGGCCTTTGACTCCATATCTTCTGTCCTTGGTGTGACTGGCTTTCCCTCCCCCTCCCCCGCGGCCCTCTCTGGACTTACTCTCCCTCATACCCCTGCGCTGGTCTTTTCCAGAACCTCAGTGCCTACAACACACGGCTCTTCAAGGCGGTTGACCAGGACGGGAAGCCCTGCTACGAGGTGCGCCTGGCTTCGGTGCTTGGCACAGGTGAGCTCCTTTCTGTATTCTGTACATGGGGATGGTGAACACACTAAACTGTGCTTCCAAATATCTCTCAAAGTACCCTCAGGATAAAGCCCAAGGCCGCCTCTACTTTGTTATTCAGGACTCTTTGGTTACAAGTGAGGAAATCCTTCAAATTTGTCTAAACCAAAAGGGGACTTTACAGACGGGGGGGTAATTAAGAAGCCCAGAGTAGGAAGGCTTCGGGCACAGCTGGCTCCAGCTGCTCAGACAGTGATCTCAGAAAATTTCTCTCTCCATCTCTTGGCTGGGCTCTTTTTAAAAATATATATATATATTTATTGATTTTAGAAAGGAAGGGAGAGGGAGGTAGAAACATCAATGAGAATCATTGATAGGCTGCCTCTTGCACACCCCCTACTGGGGATCGAGCCTGCAACCCAGCATGTGCCCTTGACCAGAATCAAACCCGGGACCCTTCAGTCCACAGACCGATGCTCTATCCACTGAGCCAAACCAGCTAGTCGGCTGGGCTCTTTGAGTTCATCCTCAGCTGGCTGCTCTCATAGGTCCTGCTGATACTGGACACGAAAGGGTCCGAGCTGCCCGCTGCTACCAGAGTCATATAAGTAGAGACGAGGATGAATCTTTATGGTGCGTTTTATTAATCAGACAGCCGGCAGCCTGAGAGAGCGGCAGGTGCAACACCCTGGAAAGACCGCGCGGACGTTTCATTTCAGACAAGCTCTTATGTCGGGTTAGTGGGTGGGGGACAAAATCTGAAGTTAGTGAGTGTCCAGGGTCTGCCTTTCATCGTCCTTGCAAAGGTCAGGCCCGGAACGCTGTCTTCCTCCAGACAGGTCCTGTCTCCAGGGCCTGTTCTTCCTCTTGCGACACATCCTCCAGGTTCCCGGGTCTGTAAAAAAAAATAATAATAAAAAATCTGCTTTACAGTGAGTAGATATTAAACAACTGTTCTATTAAACAACTGACTCTATTTTTATTACGTGCCCCTTCCCTATCACTGCTAGCCACCAGTCTGGTCATTTCAGCAGAAGGAGGGTCCTTTTCTCTCAGAAATTTCTTCATAAGAATCTGGGAGTTGTCGAGTAAGACTCCCTCCACGTCCCGCGTGGAGTAGGGTTCGGTATCTGAAAGAGGGGCCGCACACAAATGAGAGAAAAATGACACGAGATAATTTTGAAATATTGGGGGACCAGGTGGGCAAGCCCGGAAGGACTTCCACCGATGCTCAGGCCGCTCCAATCTTTTATTGAGCTTGGAGTAGCCCTTGGGTAAGGAGGTTTCAATGACACACGCATTAGCTCATCAGTAGACAATTTCCAGGAATAGGCAGGATATCTGACCAACAATAATCAACAAGGATCTACACAAGTATCTAAGGAATTCAGTGAACTAAGGTGGGGATGATGCTTTAGCTACCATTATCTAGATTAACTGGGTGGTGTCTAAATTAACTGGGTGGTGCACAGCCCTGACCTACGCTAGGACTTCAAAGGTTACTAGCTTTTGGGGGTCTCTGTCTATACTCAGCTAGTGAAGACAATAAATGGTTTCCTGCAGGGAGTGACACTAATTTCTCTATTTTGGGTCCCATATTTATCTGTGAACCAATTCCTGTAGTCAAGGGCCAGGTCCCTGAGTGGGTAGATCTGGGTGCCAAGCCTATCTTGGAGCTAGGCAATGAGGTCAGCTCCTCCCACCTGAACTGGAGGTGGTAGTGGTGGGGGGTTTTCAAAGGAAAATTGGGGTCTGTTTCCAGGGGATGTTTGTTACACAGCAACAGATAACTGATACACTCAGGCAGCCTGATACCAAAGCCACACTTTTAAACTATGGTGCCATAGTTTCCACATCTATAAAATGGAGATAATAATTTCCCTTTCCCCCCAGAATGGCTGTGAGGCTTAAATGAGAAGCCACATGTAAAGCTCTTAGAATATTTCATGTTATATAATATGTCTGTATATATTTTTTAATCCTCACCCGAGGATATTTTTCCGTTGATTTTTTAGAGAGAGTGGAAGAGAGAGGGAAAGACAGAGAGAAATATCGATGTAAGAGAAACACATTGATTGGTTGCCTCCTGCACTAGCCCTGACCAGGGAGGAGCCTGCAACCAAGGTACATGCCCTTGACTGGAATCGAACCTGGGACCCTTCAGTCCACAAGCCGATGTTCTTCTAGCCACTCCCAACTGGCTTGGACCATAATATGTCTATTTTTGAAGATGCAAGTTTATACTAATTTCTGTAGGCAATGGGCAGCCATTTCTAGCCACTGAGCCCAACTGGCTTGGGCCATAATATGTCTATTTTTGAAGATGAAAGTTTATACTAATTTCTGTAGGCAATGGGCAGCCATGGAAAAGCTTAGAATAAGTGTGTCACAGTAAGAAGCCTGCTGGGCGTCCTACACTCGCCTTTTCCCTGAGCGATCCCCCTTTCCCCTCAGAGCCTGCTCTAGACTCCGAAATGACTTCCAAGTTGAAGAGCCACGAATTCCGGGGGAGCCGTTTCCAGGTGACCCGGGGGGACTACGCGCCCATCCTGCACAAGGTGGTGGAGCACCTGGAGAAAGCCAAGGTAGGCCTGGCGGGGGTCGACGTGTGCGGGCTCCAGACCCTTCTGGGCAGCTAAGGGGGGTGGGGGTGGGGTGGCCTGAGGCTGATCAACCTCTTCTCACCCCCAGACGTATGCAGCCAACAGCCACCAGGAGCAGATGCTGGCTCAGTACATAGAGAGCTTCACCCAGGGCTCCATCGAAGCCCACAAGAGGGGCTCCCGCTTCTGGATCCAGGACAAAGGCCCCATCGTGGAGAGGTGAGGGGCCCGGCCTTCACCCGCCCCGCCCTCCTGCCCACCCCTCCTCCATCTCTGCCCTTCTCTCCCCCCAGTTACATCGGGTTCATCGAGAGCTACCGAGACCCCTTTGGTTCCCGTGGAGAGTTCGAAGGTAACTTCTAGGAGGCGGGAGGTCAGACTGGAAGCCCTTTCTCTGTGTCCTCTGAGGCGTCTCCCCCTTCCCCTTGGCAGTAATAATAACACTGACAAGTGCCAGCCGTGATGATGTACCCTGTACAGGGCACTTACCTATATTAGCTCATTTAGACACCATTATCCTATGAGGATTTCCACCCTCACTTTACAGATGTGGGAACTGGAGCACGGTAGGTGGGTGGGTGGCCGAACCCAGGTGCCTTGGCTCTGAGCCACTTGGGTGCTGCCTCTGGTGTCTGATCTGGGCACAGGCTCTGTCTGTTCCAAGCCTGGCTTTGCTACTCAATTAACCCCACCTCCGAGCATCAGTCACTCCCTCTGGGTGTCGGGGGAAGGGAGAGACATGCTCAGCACAATGCCAGGCACATAAAAGTGCTGGGTGGTTGGGAGCATAACTGAGAACCTGACTCGGCTGCTGCTCTCCCAGGGCAGGTGGCAGGCTGCCTCGGCCCCGTGCCCACACGCTCCACGGGACCCGCCTGAGGTTTTAGACTTGTTTCTGCCGAGCTCCTGGACGTAGAGTCTGGAGCATCCAACTGCCAAAAAGCCAGAGAGATTAACTTGGGAGGAGAGAGGAAAGCCCCAGCAGCCGACAGGGGGCTTGATCTGAGCCCATAGATCCAGGCCCAGGACAAGGCGTGCGGGATCAGGCAGGCCGGGGGCCGGAGGGGGACACAGGTGTGCACAGCCACAGCTTTCCTGCCCGGGTCCTGATCCACCAGGCCTGCTCTGAGGGCTGAAACCCCAGGGCCTCCTCGGCAGCCTCCAGCTCAGAGGCCGCCCCCATTTTTTATGTAACTCATTGTGGTTATTAGAAAGGTAGTCCATGTTCATGGCCAACAATTTTGAAACTACAGAAAAAAACTGATTGCACCCACCCCAAGGTTAAAATTTGGAATATACTTTTTGTCTTTGACTTTTCTATAGGGCTATACATGTTTAAACACATATGTGTGTGTGTGTGTGTGTGTGTGTGTGTGTGTGTGTGTGACTTAAAAATCCATGCTTGTTGCAAATAATTAGAACAATCCGGAAGTCTGTAGGACAGAATGTGAAATCTCTCCTTTACTGCCTTCGCCTCTGTCACTCCCTCCAGAGGTCACCACAGTTCAGTTGGTGCGTGAGGCTGCTGAGCAGAATGGCTGGACTGATCTTGTTAGATAGGATGCAGTTCGAGTTCCTGACTCAAAGCAGCATTTACAAAATTGCACATTTCCAGCTGCTCTCGCCATGCAGGACCGTGCACAGCTTCCCAGAAGAGCACCTTTTTTTTCGCTCCTGAAGTCCCTTCCACTGGGAACCCGATCTCTCTCCCCCTCCCGCTATGTACTCCCACAAACTCCTTTAAGATTCTTTTCAGTTGTTACCCAGCGAAGCGCTTCTCCCCAGTTCCAGCCACCCCAAGCAGTGAGCAGGCAGGGTCACTGCTCTCCCCAGTGGCCAGCACAGGGTTCTTGCGTGCAGCAGACGTGCACTCCATGCTGAAGACCACGGGTAGAGGGGTTGAGGGGGGTGAGGACCCCTCCCAAGCCCTGCCAACCCGCAGCCCCCTCTCCCCCGCAGGTTTCGTGGCCATGGTGAATAAGGCCATGAGTGCCAAGTTTGAGCGGCTGGTGGCGAGTGCGGAGCAGCTGCTGAAGGAGCTGCCCTGGCCCCCAGCCTTCGAGAAGGACAAGTTCCTCACCCCAGACTTCACCTCCCTGGACGTCCTCACCTTCGCTGGCTCCGGCATTCCTGCCGGCATCAACATCCCCAACTGTGAGCTCCCCCAAGCCCCCAGGAGCCTCCATTTAGAGTCTCCCCCTCCTCCACACTCGCCTGGCCACCATTGCCCTCCTCAGTTCGCCGTCCCAGCCTGTTGTCCTTGTCTAGATTCCTTGTCTGTGGCCCTTAACCTTTGCCCCTTCTCTCCGGTTCCCTCCTGCCCTCTCCAGATGACGACCTGCGGCAGACAGAAGGCTTTAAGAATGTGTCACTGGGGAATGTGCTGGCCGTGGCCTACGCCACGCAGCGGGAGAAGCTCACCTTCTTGGAGGAGGAAGACAAGGTGGGCACTGGCAGCCGAGAGGCAGGGCCCGGGAAGCAGCCAGCCTGGTGCAGGGTCTGGGAATGGGCACCGCTTCTCAGCCGTGTGACCTGTGACTTCAGAGCCTGTGTCCTTACCTGTCAAGAAGGGGAAGCAGTCCCTTCCTCCTGGGCTGTTGCAGGATGAGATGGGCCTACGGTGTCCATTGCGGAGCCTGAGGTGTCGTAGGCCTTTACCGAACGTGTATCATGCTGGGCCCTCGGCGTGGCAGGCTGTATGGCCGTGGTGGGCCGTGGACAGTGTGGGCCTCTGATTGTCTCGGCAGGACCTGTACATCCGCTGGAAGGGGCCCTCCTTTGATGTGCAGGTGGGTCTGCACGAGCTGTTGGGCCACGGAAGCGGCAAGCTCTTCGTGCAGGTAAGGACCTGGCCGGTGGGCCCCGGCACAGGCATACAGCTCCCCTGCCCCTGATCAGGCCTCAGGGGTGAAGCTGCTCCAGTATTTGCCTTCAGGGGCTTTGGGGCAGGTGGCGAATATGACCCCTTAAGTGGTGAAGTCCCTATCTCACCCTCCCCCAAGATGTCCCAGAAGCTCCAAGGATTGAAGAGGACCCACAGGACAGTCCAGCTGAGGTCCCCCCACCACAGAATCTCCCCCACAGGAGGAATTGCTGGGCTCCTGCCAAGGAAGCCGGCCCTGAGGGAGGGACTCCGGCCACCCTGGGGACAAAGAGGCTGGCAGGGGACAGTCCCTGATGCTCTGGTCCTGAGGCTCTAGCGCTGTAGTGCAGTTCCTAGAGCTTGTACCCTTCAGGTACTGTAGGGAGCCGCTTCTCCCCAGAGCAGCCCCTTCCTGCCAGCTGCTCAGCGTGGCTGCAGCCCCCGGGACACCCGCTCAGGGAATGTACAAAAGACAGAGGCTTCCTCGCAAGCCGAGAGATGCCCAGCACAGAGCTGCAGAGATGAGAGAGCTGGAGGGGATGGGTGAGAGCATCCGAGAGTGTGGGCTCTAGGTTGGGCTTGCTCCCTGTGGGTGGGACTGCCCACTGAATGGGGAAGATAGAACCAGAGCTGGGTCTTGGGATCTGGGCCTGGAAGTCAGGAGGATTCAAAGAGCAGCTGGTGAGAGTAGCAGTCTGGTGTCAGGCCTTGTCTGGGCTTTGAAGTCACAGGGAAGTAGGGACAAATGCGGACAGGTCCGTTCCCCTCGCTGAGCCTCAGTTGACATGTCTGTAAAATGGGATTCCTGAGCCCCCCTATGTGGGCTGTTGGGAGGAATGACAGCAAAGCCCTGGGCTTTCCTGGCACACAGAGGCCCTTAGCAATGTGTTCGTAATAAGAACACAATATTAGGAGACAGTGTGCCCAGGGGTTGTGTGCTCTGATGCTGTTTCGGGGATCTTAGTTTCTGAGCCTGTTTCCTCCTCTGTGAAGTGGGGTAATAATAGAACCTTCTTCGGAGGGTGGTTGTGAGGATTGAAGGGATGATGCATGAAAGATGCTTAGCACATGGACAGGACGGTGAGGGTGATGCTTGTTCGAGGTAGAAGCACAGGTGCTGGGCTCTGCCAGCCCGGGGAGCCGGCGGGGAGCCGGAGGGAGGAGCCGCGGGCTCTCTGGCCCACCCACCGGGACATCTCTGCTGGGGCCTGGAGAACTGCGTTCAGGTCTTCACATGACGGGGCCTTCACATCCTCTCCCTGCCTTGGGGCAGTGGCCCTGGTTCTCCCACCTCCCCGGGGCTCTGAGGGGGCAGCGGGTACACAGGACCCAGGTTTGGAGGCAGCGATGTGTCGATGGACCTGCTGCTCCTGCTGTCCGCTCACGGCTCCCCAGTCGTTTTTCTGGGCCACTTATCAGGCTCTTGGAGCCCAGGCCTGAGGACCCAGACCTGGGCATGGGCACCTTTTCCTCCGCCCCGCCCCATCAATGACCCTTCTCTTGCAGGATGAGAAAGGAGCGTTCAACTTCGACCAGAAGACAGTGATCAACCCAGAGACAGGGGAGCAGGTGAGGGTGGCCTCGGCGGAGCCCCAGGGTGCTGGGAGGGTGGGCACAGGTGGGGTGGCAGCCATCCTTAAACCGGCTTTCTGGGTCTCCCCTCCCAGATTCAGAGCTGGTACCGGAGTGGGGAGACCTGGGACAGCAAGTTCAGCACCATCGCCTCCAGCTACGAAGAGTGCCGGGCAGAGAGCGTGGGCCTCTACCTCTGCCTCCACCCCCAAGTGCTGGAGTACGAGCAGCAGGCGTGGGGGCTGCCTCCTCTTTGGGCGGAGGGGGGCCCGCAGGGAGGGCAGGGCCCAGGCAGCCTCCGACCCCCCTGCCACCGCCCTCTCCTGTCCCCAGGATCTTTGGCTTCGAGGGGGCCGATGCGGAAGATGTGATCTACGTGAACTGGCTCAACATGGTCCGGGCTGGGCTGCTGGCTCTGGAGTTCTACACCCCTGAGGCCTCCAACTGGAGACAGGTGGGGCCCTGGGGGCCCTCAGGAGTGGGGGGGACCCGAGATGGGGGCCAGGATCAGGATTCTGGGTACAGGGATGGACAGTCTACGAGGCACGTGAACTGGGTTTAATCTCAGACTCCACTGCGTCTGGGGACAGGTCACGTCAGTGTCTTGTGAAATGGGAGTAATGAGCTCCCTGCCCACCTTGGAGGGAATCAAGTGAGATGACTTTACTGCGACTCCTAATAGATGACTAGCTTAGGACTTACTCTGTGCCAGGCCCAGTTCTAAGCACTTTACATGAATTAACTCATTTGTCCCCAGTACCAACCCCGGGAGGTAGGTACTATTATTACTGTCATTTTAGAGATGAGGAAACCGAGGCCCAAAGAGGTTAAGTAACTTGCTGGTGAGTAGCAGAGCCAGGGTTCAAATCCAAGCATCTGCCTCCAGAGCCATCAGGCCTGACTGCTCGGGTACGAGATGTCCTTTGGAAATAGGCTAAGCAGTAGAATGTTTTAAAAAGTCAAAATAAGTATGCTTTCAGGAGGCAATATTATATCATCGAAAGAACACACATTTTAGAGTCGGGAAATGTGGGTCTGAGTGAGTCCTGGCTCTCCCTTAGCAGCTGTGCGACCCTGAGCAAGTCACGTGACCTCTCTGGGCCTCTGTTTTGTCATCTGTAAATTGGGAATAAGGATGCCCTCTCTGTCCCTCTGTTGAATGCAAACAAGATTGTGGAGGAGAAAGTGCTTGGGGTCCGAGTGGTGAGGCTACTGCTCTCACGAGGGCAGAGTTTGGAGCAGCAGAGGCCATGCTGGTGGCCGGGGGTGCGCAGGTCCTGCCTGGAAATGGCCTCCGTGTCCCCCAGGGCAGCCTGCCCTCCCTTATGAGCAAAGGAGGGAGGGGGCATCTGAGGGAAGAGGAATAATAGGCAGGAAAGAAGAGGGTACAGTAAGGATAATTGACAATGAGCAAGAACAAAAATCAGGTCTTGGATCGAACACTTACTGTATCTTACCTCAGGGCTACAAATGACTCCTTTCTCCCTGGCAATACAGTAAGGATAATTGACAATGAGCAAGAACTATATATCAGGTCTTGGATCGAACACTTACTATAGCTTACCTCAGGGCTACAAATGACTCCTTTCTCCCTGGCCCCTGCAGGCCCACATGCAGGCCCGGTTTGTGATCCTGAGGGTCCTGCTGGAGGCCGGCGAGGGACTCGTTACCATCACTCCCACCACGGGCTCCGACGGGCGGCCGGATGCCCGGGTCCGCCTTGACCGCAGCAAGATCCGGTCAGTGGGCAAGCCCGCCCTGGAGCGGTTCCTACGGAGACTCCAGGTAAGCGGGGGCCTCTTGCCTCGGAAGCCCCTCCGGACTCACCCTACTTCTCCGCCCGATTTCCCGTTTTGCAGATGATAGGACTGGCTTCATAGGCAAGCCAAAAGGCTCTACAGACGAGTTGTTGAAATTAATGAGTTCAGCAAGAGTGAATAAAGTCCCAAGAGGATTTTTCATGGAACTTGAAAGAGAGTTCAGCAAGGGTGAATAAAGTCCCAAGAGGATTTTTCATGGAACTTGACAAGCTGATTGTAACATTTGTTTATTTATTTATCAATCCTCACCTGAGGATATTTTTCCATTGACTTCTAGAGAGAATGGAAGAGAGTGGGAGAAACAGAGAGAGAGAGAAACATTGATGTGATAGAGACACATTAATTGGTTGCCTCCCGCAGGCACCTGGTCAAGACAGGGGATCGAGCCTGCAACCGAGGTACGTGTCCTTGACTGGAATCGAACCCGGACCCTTCAGTCTGCAGGCTGATGCTCTATCCACTGAGCCAAAGTGGTTAGGGCTGATAGAACTGGTTCGGTGGAAGCACAGAGGACTATGAATAAGAGCCGAGGCACTGCTGAAGCAGAACGGGCTGGGAGACTTGCTCCCAGATATCAAAATTTATTCTAAGATTATTGGGTTCAGTGTTGCCCTGGGGCAACAATAGACACGCTGACCAGTGGAACAGAACCAAGAACCAGGCCTCGACTGTTTGGCATATGGCAGACGTAGCCTTGCAGTTGACTGGGGAAGGGAGGGACCGTTCAGAAAGTGGTGCTGAGGCAACAGGCTGTCCTTATTGAGATGAATTGGATTTCTTCCTGATACCATACACACAACCAGTCTCGGAGAGATTAAAGGTTTAAATGTGAAAGACAAAGTTTTAAACTGACCTCAGGATGAAGGAGAATTTCGCCAAACATGAGAAGCACAAGCCATCAAGGAAAAGATTGATCTCTTTAACTCCATCAGAAATAACTTTTGTTCATTACAAGTCACCATATAAGAGGTGAGAAGATGAGTCAAACTAGGCTAGGGTATTTATATGTTAGCACAGGGGTCCTCAAACTACGGCCCGCGGGCCACATGCAAATACAAATATTGTATTTGTTCTCGTTTTGTTTTTTAACTTCAAAATAAGATATGTGCAGTGTGCATAGGAATTTGTTCATAGTTTTTTTTTAAACTATAGTCCGGCCCTCCAATGGTCTGAGGGACAGTGAACTGGCCCCCTGTTTAAAAAGCTAGGGTATTTATATGTTAGCATATATATTACCGAAGGTTAGTATCTAAATATATAAAGAATTTTTAGAAAAGTGAAGAGCCCGACTGGTGTGGCTCAGGGGTTGATCGTTAATCTATGAACCTGGCAGTCACCTGATTCTCAGTCAGGGCACATGCCCGGGTTGTGGGCTCAATCCCCAGTAGGGGGCGTGCAGGGGGCAGCCGATTGATGATTCTCGCTCATCATTGATGATTCTATCTATTCATCTCCCTTCTCCTCTCTGAAACCAATAAAAACATATTTAAAAAAAAGTGAAGAAGAGCCCCGTCGGTGTGGCTCAGAGGTTGAGCATCTACCTATGAACCAGGAGGTCACGGTTCAATTCCCGGTCAGGGCACATGCCCGGGTTGTGGGCTTGATCCCCAGTGTGAGTGTGCAGGTGGAAGAAAAGACTATCCAACAGAAAAATAAGCAAAAGTCATGAACAGAGAGGAAAATAAGAAGCCACCAATTTATGGGAAGATGCCCGATCTCATCAGTAATCAGGGAAGCATAAATGAAATCCTGTGAGATTTACGCCCGTGGCAGAAATGAATACTGCCCACAGCAGCCCGATATGCGGGGCAGTGACTGCCACCTGCTTCCCCGACTGAGTGAGTGCGACCTTGGAGAACGACCTGCGTGTTGCCCGCAAGGTTGCGCGGTCACCCGGCCTCCAGACCATCGCGTCTCCTGGACGTTCATCATACAAGGCTGTCCCAGCAGTACTGGGTGGCAAAAGCACGGGTTACCCATCAACAGAAGAGGTTCGCTTGTGTGTGTTTACAAGTGGAACACCGTACAGCGGTGTGAACTAGGGCTGCATGCGTGAACACAAGTGAATCGCAGACATAACTTAAGCAAATCACAGAACACGGCAACGTTGACATAATGTGTGGTTGAGGGGAAAACAAGGGAATAAAAGCACAGAATTGAGGGCTGTTTCTTCAGCCCGGAGGCCACAGGGTGCAGGCAAGGAAAGGCAGTTGGGCGAACTCTTAAGCTGGATGGCGGTTGCATGGGTGTCTTATTCTTTATAACGTATATGTTAGATATTTTAACAGGCACTCACTGTGTGCTAAGCACTTAGCATGCCTTTCTGTCCTCTTCAGCAGGGCAACACCAAGAGCATGTGTGGTTCAGGGCTGGGCGCCATCAGCTGCAGCCCTGGCAGAGCCCTGTGGACGTGGGGTGGGCGCCCGCCGGGCACTGACTCCTTCTGCCTGCCCACAGGTACTGAAGTCCACAGGGGATGTGTCTGGAGGCCGGGCCCTGTACGAGGGGTATGCGGCGGTCACGGATGCTCCCCCCGAGTGCTTCCTCAGCCTCAGGGACACGGTGCTGCTCCGCAAGGAATCTCGGAAGCTCATCGTTCAGCCCAACACTCGCCTCGAAGGTAACGGGCTCCTGAGCCTCCTTTGCTGGGGGCCGTGCAGCCCTGTGGGAGCACAGAGGAGGCCTGCAACTGGCCAGGGGCCCAGGGAAGGCTATCTGGGGCGACTCCTACCTATCTCCCTGCCACAGTCCTCCTCAGGCCAAACCTCAGGCCAAAACCTTGGCATCTACCATCACCACCATCACTACCACTGTCCATGGTCATGCTGATGATAAGATGGGAACAGAGGTTTGAGAAAGGCCAGCAGAGCCAGGGCTAGTGGAACATGCAGACCCCAGGGCGGGCAGGCATGGTACCAGAGAATCAGACCTCGCCCTGAAGTGAGTCACATCAGGCAGTGAGTTGGGACCCAGCGGGCCGAGTGGAACCCAGGGGACAATGTGACTCAGCAGAGCCAGGACAGAGATCAGTAGGCCTGTGGTCCCTCTACCTTCTCAAGTGATGATCCCATTCCCAGAAGCCCTGACCCTGTGTGCATTGCATTTGGATCTTTTGTATTCAAAGCCCTTAGGGATCCCAGCACCTGCTGATTCACTTTTCCTCACCCCTTAACTCGTCTACCCTGACATCTGGTTCACAAGGCACCTATGAAGAGGCGGTGCCAATCAGCGGTTAGAGCATGAGCTTCGGTACTGCTCTGCGACCTTGTCCTAGCACTTGGCTGCTCTGAGCTTGGGTGTCTTCATTCATAAAGCCAGCCTTGATGTGTACTTACATTGTAGTGAGCCTGAATTAAGTACTTCCTTCAAGTTCTAAGTGCTTTCCATGGACCAGCCCTTTAAATCCTCACAATCATCCAATGAGGTAGATATTTTTATTACCCCATTTTACAGATAAGACAATTGAGGCACAGAGAGTAAATTACTCAAGGCTTATAGCTCGATATTGGAAGAGCCAAGAGTGAATTTAAAAGTGTTTCCTCTTCACTACCACATCCTGGGCAGTAGTGAGGGTTAAATTCAGTAATTACCTCCTACTGGTGAGGAAGAAGCACTTAAGAGGCTTATCCTAAACTCTTTACTCTACACTCCAGAGTCTCCATGGGCTTTGGCCCTGGCCCATTGCGGACCTCAGCGACCCTCCTGCCTGGTTCACTGCCTTCCAGGCACATGTGCCTTCCCGTTTCTCCAACAGCCTGAGCTCGCTCTGCTCTTATAACCCCTGCACTCGCTGTTCCCTCTGCTTGGCGTGGTCCTCTCCCAGATCTTTGTCTGGATGGCTCTTCTTGTCATTTGGGTCTCTATATAATGGCATCTCCTGGGAGAGGCTGTCTCTGACCCCTCAATCTAAAGCAACCCCTTCGGTCCCTCTTGGCTTTCTCTTCTTCATGCACCCATCACTCTGCCATTTTCCTGTCTGCCTCGCCTCCATGACAGCAGAAGCAGCATGTCCCCTGCACCTAGCACGGGGCCTGGCACACTGGAGCTGCTGAGTGCCTGTGAAATGAGTGAATGAATGAATGAATATGAATCATGCTGGGCACACAAGGGCCTGGCACACTGAGCTGCTCAGTGCCTGTCAAATGAGTGAATGAATGAATGAATGAATGAATATGAATCATGCTGGGCACACAGTAAGTGCTGGTTCCATGGACAATATCGTCATCACTCTGATTGTTCTGCCCTGCAAGGGCCACTGGGGATCAAGAGGTGAATCGGACCCAGACCCTCGCCTCAGGTAGCTCACAGCCCATTAGGAAAGCCTGCATGAGTGCCCAGGAGACGCAAACAGTGGTTTGAACAGGAAGAGAGAAGGTCACATCCACCTTCAAGGGAGTCGGGGAGGGTTCTGGGGAGGAAGTGGTGACTACACGAGGCCTGAAGGACAGGCTGGATTTTCTTTTTATTTCCTTTTAGTTCTATTTTTTGTTGTTTGGATTTTCAAAGGTAGTGTTGGTAGTGATGATGATAGCTAACTTCCGAGGACTTTCATATGCCAGGCACTGGGTAAAAACTTCCCATGGATTAACTCCCAACAACCTAATGAAGTAACTGTCCCCATTTTTCAGCTGGAAACTGAGACACAGGGGGACTGACTGTGTCTCTGCCTGAGGTCACACAACTAGTGGGTGGCAGAACCAGAATTTGAACTTGGGCCATCTGAACCCAGAGCCTGTGCTCTTAGCTCTATACAGCGCACAGTGCCACAGCGCACAACAAGGCACTGTGGGGGGATGTGAGTTAGAGGGCAGTGCTTCCAGGAGTGTTCAGAGGACCCTCGGAGCTGCCCCATTTAAGAGATTGGTAAATAGGTCAGAGATAACGCTGCTAGCACTTGTTGAGCACCCACTTGATGCATTATTGTATTTAATCACTACAGCTTCTTGAGGGAAGAGGTACTGTGCTCACCCCCACTTCACAGATGAGGAAACTGAGGCTTAGAGGTTGAGAAGCGGCCAAGGACAGTGTCTGTTTATCCTGGCATGGCACCTGGTATACATCTTTTATTAAATGAATGAATGAATGCAGCAATTCATTAAATCCCCCCCCCCCAATATTTCCTTCCTCATAGGGTTATTGTAAGGAGGAATAGATAATAAACCTAAAACATTGGACACAATTTTTGCCACATGGTAAGAGCTCAGGAAGAACTAGCCGCTGCTGCTGCTGCTGCTGATGGTGATGACAATTCTGCTTCCCTATTAAGACCTTTCTCTGCTGCTGTTTTCTCTCCACCTCTTCCCCAGGCTCAGAAGTGCAGCTTCTTGAGTACGAGGCCTCGGCTGCTGGTCTCATCCGATCCTTCTCCGAGCGCTTCCCAGAGGATGGGCCCGAGTTGGAGGAGGTTCTCACCCAGCTGGCCACAGCCGATGCCCAGTTCTGGAAGGGCCCCTGTGAGGCCCCATCTGGCCAGGCGTAAAGCAGATTTGTACAGCCCCTCCCCCACTCCATCAAACCAAGGCTGCAAGTGGCCCCCTTTTTATGTGCGCATCAGGGGCTAAGGGAGGGGCAGGAGCTCAGGCCTTGGTGCTACCTCAGCCGAGGGTGGTGACACTAACCCCTTCCATTTGGCAGCACTTTCCACTTTACCAACTACTTCCCTGGGTTATCTCATTTGATCTGTGCTGCCCTCTGAGGAATGGGCAAGGCAGGGCGCCTTATCCTGTTTCCCAGACGGGGAAATGGAAGTTCTGAGAAGTGACCTGTCTAGAGCCTGCAGGACTCAAAACCTCTCCCTGTCTAGGGCTCTTCATGGATTACTTTTATAACCAGAAAAATAAATATTAGAAATAAATAAATATTGTGGCCTGAGTAATTTCTCCTTGTCTTTGCTTCACTTTTCTTTTGCTCCTACCAGGGTAGTGGGATCAGGGGCTGGGGAGGGGGCAGGAGGGTCATTTTCAGGCCTCCATCCCCTGAGGATGTGCGCACGGTTACAGAATTGAACATAGCACAATTTCTGCACTCCTCTTTTGTGGCATTTTTTGTGTTTTGAAATATCCTGGGAGCCTAAAAACTAGAAACCCGCAACTCCAGTCAGAATCCTAGGATGTAATCTCTTGAGCCTTGTGTTTTGTTTTCTGAGCCTGGACCTTTTAGTGCGGCGGGAAGAAAGGACATGGCCCTTTTCAACTTGAAGATGGTTCCAGTTACTTTTGCTGCTCAAACACCGGAAGGGCTGCACTCAGGCTTGAAGCCAACGCGCCAAGCCGCTGACCCAGAGATCACAGGGCCCAGGTGCTGCGGCTGGGAAGGAGCAAAGATAAATCCTATGAGCTGGGATGAGGGATTGCGCTTTAGTCGCCAGAAGCCCAGCAAAGAAGCCAGCACATCACGCCCACATGGCTCCCCAGGCTCAGGCCGGAACGTTGCGCTGCCGGAACGTTTGTACGCGAGCTTTCCGGAACCCGGAGCGCTTGGATGCTGCACGGCGGCTGGCCAGAGCTCGTTGCCAGGGCGACGCCTGCGAAGATGGCGGCTGCATCTCCGTTGGATTTCGACAGCGGCAAAGCTGAGAGGTGAAAGCCAAAGTCCTTGCGGCCTCTTTTCCTACAGATGTGAAGAGGGTGCCCCCGGGATCTGGCTCCTGACGTTCTTGAACAGCTAGGGAAACAGGCCCAAGCAGTGTGTCGTGTGTGTGTCGTGTGTGTGTGTGTGTGTGTGTGTGTGTGTGTCCGGCGGTCAGTGCTGGAGCCTGGACTTGGACCCCCAGTTCGGGGCTCCCCACACACCTCACTCTCAGAGACCGGCTCCCTCCCTGGGTACTCGCTCTCCAACTCTTTCCCTCCTCTCCCAGCAATGAAGCCAGTTCGAAATGGCTGGATGCGCACTACGACCCCCTGGCCAACATCCACACCTTTTCCGCCTGCCTGGGTGAGTCTGGGGCTGCTGTCCCGGTTCTGGGGAGATGAGTTGTCAGATGACGGTTCTGTAGTGAAGCCGCTGGGCTGATGCCCTGACTTATGGCTCTTTTGTGTTTTCCAGCGCTGGCAGATTTGCATGGGGACGGGGAGTACAAGGTACGGTATCACCCGCGCAGAAAGAGAACTGGGGGGGGGGGAAAAAAAAAGGGGAGAGGAGGAGGCGGGAAATAACAGAATTGACATGTCCCGATGGCCCCCAAGAAGCTCAGCATAATCTGGGTGGAATTCGTGAGTACTCTGAAATAGCACATTTAGTGTTAATTTTTTAAAATTGATTTTAGAGAGGAAGGGAAGGGAGAGAGAGAGAAACATCAATGATGAGAATCATTGATTGGCTGCCTCCTGCAGGCCTCACACTGGGGATTGAACCTGCAACCTAGGCATGTGCCCTTGACCGGAATCGAACCTGGGACCCTTCAGTCCGCAGGCTGATGCCCTATCCATTGAGCCATGCCGGCCAGGCTAGTGTTAAATTTTATCTTTATGCAGAAGGTGAAGAGGTCCCATAATACAGAATGCAGAAAGTAAAGCAGAACAATTGCTGCTGGGCATTTTGCTAAGACAAAGCTTCTTAGTTTTGTTCATTCTTTGCTGGAAGGGCAGGCACCTCCCTTGGCTGCATGTGAGGGGTTAGAATCTGGAGGGGAAGTAGAAGGGAATTAAAGGGACTTTTATGTTTATCAAAAGGACATCAATTTTAAGATTAGCCATGAGCTGATAATTGTTGAAGCTGGGTTATGGGTTCATTATATGAGTCTGTCTACTTTTGTCTGTGACTGAAATTTTTCCATAATAAAAAGGTTGAAATTTAATTTTAAACAAAAATAGCCCGTTGACCCATGAACCAAGTTGAGGCCTGAGTCGTGGGCTCGATCCCCAGTAGGGGGCGTGCAGTAGGCAGCCAATCAATGATTCTCTCTCAACATTGATGTTTCTATCTTCCTCTCCCTTCTTTGAAATAAATTTTAAAAATGTATATATATTTAAAAATAAATACATAAACATAAAGGTAAATTAAATGTAAACAAAGAAATAAATAATTTTAAAGGCACAGGTTGTTAATTTAATTTATTTAGTTAGTTCTCACCCCAGAACTTCCTCTTTTTTTTTTTAGAGAGAGAGAGAAGGGAAGGGAGAGAGAAAGAGAAACATTGATTGGTTGCCTCCCGTAAATGCCCCATCAGGATCAAACCCGTGACCTCAGTGTATGGGACAATGCTCCAACCAACTGAGCCACACTGGTCGGGGCTAGGCACAGGTGTGTTTTCTTTTAAAGGTTGGAAAATATATTGGGCTAAAGAAAGGAAGTTAACATATATTAAGTATCCATTTCTGGACTAGACCCTCTTTGAGGCATTTTCACATACTTAGATATTATTGATCCCCATTTTGTTAATGGGGAAATGGATTCAGAGAGACTAAGTTTACTGAGTTTGTAGAAAGCAGCAGACCTGGGCCTGTCAGATTCTGTTATTTATTTGTTCCACTATATAGCTCAACCTTTGTCCTGGGCTGTGAACCCACAATGGGCGCATTAGGTGGGCGGCTCAAGGATACATGGAAAGTGCGGTAGGATTTGCTGCCTTTTGACCCCAAATTCCTATATGTAATGCATTCAACAATTCAACAACCATACAGTGAACCCTTACTGTGTGTCAGCCATTGTGCAGACAGTAAACTCAGAAATGAATCAGTATACAGTCTGGAGGAGATACAGACTGAACACCTATTGTGTGCTTGGCATTGAGTTTACAGCAGTGAAGTATGGAGAAATCGGACCCACTAACAAATGTAAAATGTTAAATGCTTTGGCGTGATGCCTTTTTTAATGACTAGTTTGCTTACTGTTGATTCCCAACATCTAACCCAGTGCCTGGCACAAATTAGGTACTTGATAAATATTTGTGGGGTAAAAGATGGGTGCTAAAATAGAACATATGGAAAGTATTTTGGGAGCACCAGTGAGAGAATAATGAAAGCTATCTGGAGGCACCAGGAGGCAGTAACATGTGAACTGCCTTTTGAAGGATGAATGAAGTATATGAAAAACGCACAGAAGAGAGGAGGGGAAAGCAACCCAGCATCACAAGCAGAGGCACAGAGGCTTGGAAGTTCACAGCATACTTGGAAAGAGGAAATTTGGAGTTAGAAGTTTAGGCCAATGTAAAATAGTAGTTAAGGCCACTGGCTTCGGATTCAGACAGACTAGGTTCCAGTTCCAGGCCTACCACATACGAGCTGTGTGAACATTTACGTAATAGCACTAAGCCACAGCTTTCTCATTTGTGACATGGGGCTAATAATAACACCTACCTCATGTGGTGTTGAGAAGACTAAATGGAATTCCTGGCGTGGCTCCTGGTGCACTGTGCATGCTCGGAATCCAGACGTTCTGTGGCAGTCCCCATTCTGGCTGGAGCATAGCATGGATGTGAAGGTGATGGTAAACAAGTTGAGAACTAGATCAGAGGGGCCTTGAAGGCCTCGTCAGGAGAATGGGCTTGCATGGCAGCTGCAGTGGCATGGAGTATGGGTTGGAGGGTGAAAAATGAAGACTGGCCCTGAGTCGGTTGGAGCATCATCCTGTACACCAAAAGGTTGTGGGTTCAATTCCCAATCAGGGCACATACCCAGGTTGCAGGTTCGATTCCAGGTTGGGGCACATGTAGGGGGGATGGCCAATTGGTGTTTCTCTCTCACATCAATGTTTCTCTCTCTCATTCTCTTTTTCTCTTCCTTCCTCTCTAAACACATCCTCGGATGAGAATTAAAGAATAACAAAACAAAAAAACAGACTGAAGAGCTTGGTTTTGGTCTCTGCATCCACAGAGCACAATCTGCTCTTCATGCTGCTTCTGCTTCCTTAGCTCTGTTCCCATTCGGAAGTCAGGCGTCAGAAGCCCGGAGTTTCCAGTGCCCCACTGACCTCGGCCACTGTCCCAGTGTCTAGAATAGTGCCTGGCAGGGAGCAGGCCCTGAAATGTTTACTGAATGAATAATGCAAACATCAGCTGCCACCTACTCCTCACTAGGACTCACCATGTTCTGTAACTCATGATCTCATTTGATTTTCGCTACAAGTGTCATGAAATTGCTAGACCCATTTTGCTGGTGGGAAAACAGGCACAGGAAGTTTAAGCAACTTTCCCAAGGTCACAGAGCTGGCAAGCCTTATCGCAGAGCATTTGCTGTTGGGTGGGAGTGAATGAATGAGCACCAGCAAAAGGACTGAGCCCAAGAAGAGGGTCCGGGGCAAGGTCTTTAGGCTCTGAGCCTGGAGTAAGCCAGCCTCTCTTTACAGCTGGTGGTGGGGGACCTTGGCCCGGGCGGGCAGCAGCCCCGCCTGAAGGTGCTCAAAGGACCCAGAGTACTGACTGAAAGCCCACTGCCCGAGCTACCGGCCGCGGCTGCCACCTTCCTCAAGGACCAACATGAGCCCCGAACACCAGCTCTGGCACTTGCTTCAGGCCCTTGCGTGTATGTGTATAAGAATCTTAGGCCCTACTTCAAGTTCAGCCTGCCCCAGTTGCCTGCAAACCCCCTAGAAGAAGATCTTTGGAACCAAGCCAAAGAGGTAAGTGATGTGGGGGATGGGAACAAGAAGGCAAAGATGGCAGCCACTGGGGCATCCTCCTTCTCTGCCTGGCTCTGGAGTTCACAGGCTTTCCCTCCTTCCTACGCTGTTATAGGACCGGATCGACCCCGTGACCCTGAAGGAGATGCTGGAAGACATCCGGTGAGAGCCCACCTCCCCTTCCTCCACCTCCCACCCCGCCCTCCTCTCCGACTCTGACTCTTTCATCCCAGAGCTCTTGGCCTAACCCCGGGGCTCTGTTCCTCAACTAAACCTGCCATGATTGCCCCTCTCTTCGCAGGGAGAAGGCAGAGGTGCCTTTATCTGTACAGTCGCTCAGGTAAGGGCCCTCTGAGGGCCTGGGCTCCGGAAGCCCCAGGGGGCAGTGAGTGGCTGAGTGGCCTGTGGACAGCCAGGCCCAGGGCGTGCAGCTGCATGTTCTCTCCAGGTTTCTGCAGCTGGAGCTGAGTGAAATGGAGGCGTTTGTGAACCAGCACAAGTCCAAGGCCATCAAACGTCAGGTAATGCCCCTTGTCTTCATTTCTCCATTAAAAATATGGATATATTTTTTTAAAACCACCAACATCAGAGGTAAATTCTACAACCAGACCTGACTAGTTTCATTTTGCAGTTTCCCTTCCAATCCTGCCACATAGATATGGTCACAAAGCGGCAGGGCCTTCTGCATTTCCAGTTAAGTGACAGCTTTGGCTTGACCTGTAGTTATATAACTTTATAGCGCTTTCATTGTCTTGAGGGTAAAGGTAATATATTCTCATTAGAGAACATTTGGAAAATAAAAGTATAAAGGAGAAATAGAAATGACTACAGTCTCACTACCTGAGGTACTTGCTCTTCTTGTTTTGGTACATTTCCTTCATAAATATACTTTTCTATCCTGCTTCCCTTGAGTAACATGACATATTTTGAACATTAAATAATTTAAGAACTATGGTTTTAGAGGCCCCTGGATTATTTAATTGATTTTTCATTATGTCATTTAGTGTTTATATAACTAGTCACATGCAAGTCATTGGACAAGAAATGTGTCGCTTTTATTCACTTCATAGTTTTTTTTCTTAGTTACACTTTTAATTGCTTTATTGATGAACCTATTCACTGATGAACTCTATTGGCTCCTGACCTGGGGGCTGACCCTTAGTCCAGGGACAGACTCCCAGAGCTGTTCTCTGCATTTTAAAAAAGCCTCTTGGGAGCCATGAGGTCACTTGAGCCAAACATGTTGACCAACAGCCGTTGGCTAGTCTTCGACCAATTCTGTGAGAAGCATGTTCTCTCCTGCTGGTCAGCAGCTCAGATCCACAGCTGTCAATATCTTTGAGTACTTCTAAAACCAGGAAGTGAATCGTTGCTCAAAAGATGCAGTTTTGGGGCAGAGGGCAAGCTTTCTAAGTGTGTCATGGGTACATGATTGGGAGCCACGAAGTTCCATACTTCTGTAACCTTTCTCCTTCCACTCAGCTTTTAATCTTAAAGATAATCACACAGCCCTAGCCGGTTTGGCTCAGTGGATAGAGCGTCGGCCTGAGGACTGAAGGGTCCCGGGTTCGGTTCCGGTCAAGGGCACATGCCCGGGTTGTGAGCTCGATCCTCAGTAGGGGGCGTGCAGGAGGCAGCCGATCAATGATTCCCTCTCATCATTAATGTTTCTATCTATCCTTCCCTCTCCCTTCCTCTCTGAAATCAATAAAAATATATTGGGGGGAAAAAGATAATCACACAGTGAGCAGCTTTATTCAAAGAAACACTTGGTCCTGCTAAAATATTTCCGTAGGAGAAATTCCTAAAAAAGGGATCATCCCCTTCTCTTTTGTTTTCTCTCCGATCACAATTACAAAGGAACATGTGCCCACTGTAGAAATTACAGACAAGCACACTGAGAAGTTAAATAGCACCCGTGAGCTTGTTGTCCAGACATAACCAGTGTTAGTATTTAAGGCTTTAGCCTTTCAGCATGTTTTTCTATTCATTTTTAAAAACTGAGATTATACTAATGTAACTTTTTACCTATTTTTTCTCTTAATACATTAGAAGTATTCTCCCTATCTTTGAATCTTCTTTTAAAATGTGATAATTTAAATGACTGCATGGTTTAGGATCATATGGATAGTTCATAATTGACTTAGACAATCTTTTGTTAGAAAGTTAAGTTTGTTGCACTAAACACCTTTGTACATAAATCTTCTTTTGCCTCTCTATACTCTTCCTCCTGTTTTATCCTCTTTCTTCCCTCCTGTGGTGTCTTGGGGGTGAATGGGGGGAATGGTGTGTGGGGATCCGGAGTGACCCGTGGAGTCCTTCTGCAGACAGTCATCACCACCATGACCACCTTAAAGAAGAACCTGGCTGACGAAGATGCTGTGTCATGCTTGGTGCTGGGCACTGAGAACAAGGAGCTCCTGGTGCTGGACCCGGAGGCCTTCACCACTTTGGCCACGGTCAGTGTGGGGCCTGAAACAGCACACCTGAGGCCCAGCTGCATTCCCTCCCTCTGTCCCCCCACACCTCCTGCTCCCAGTTCTTGGTAATACATGAAAAATTATAAAATATAGATAAGCATAAAGAAAAAAATATATAAAGAAATCCCACCACTCACAGACATTTACCATTAAAGTTTCATCATATGTCTTTCCTGACATTTTCATATTTAGACATAGATATATAAAAAAGTACAGGATCGTATAACTTGCTCTTTTCACGTAGCAGTAGCTCATCAATGTCTTTCCACATCTATATAAAACCACATCCTCCTTTTCAAAGGCCTCACAGTATCCATTTTATAGATTCACAACATTTATTTACCCCGTCACCTATTGTGGGTTTAAGTTGTTTTCCAATAATAGTTTTCACTATTAACACCACTGCAGTAGGCATTCTTGCTCAAATGTCTTTGCATGCTTGTCTAAATATTTCCTTAGGATGCATTCCTAGAAGTGGCGTAGTTTAGTCAAAGGCTTGTGCTACATGTCGCTCAGTTTCCCTCCAGAAAAATTGTATGAGTTTAAACTGACCAGCTGGGTATGCGTGAGGAAGTTGGGATTTCAGATAAAGAGGAGTCGGTCCCTTCAAGGTAGGGAAGGACTGGGGCTCCAGAGAAATGGGATGTTTGAGCCTCTTCTTCGCAGATGAGCCTACCCAGCGTCCCTGTCTTCCTGGAGGTTTCTGGCCAGTTCGATGTGGAGTTCCGGCTTGCCGCTGCCTGCCGCAATGGGAACATCTACATCCTGAGAAGGTAGCCACACGTGGTCTCGGGCCAGAGAGAACATCTCAGATACCTGGCAGTTTCTGGGGTTTGCAAGATAAGCAGGGGCCTTGGGGCTGGAATTGGGGAATGGAAAGAGCTGAGACGTGCACATAGGAGGCTGAACCAGGAGCACAGCAGGTATCTGGAGGCTTGTGTGATGGGGTTGGCGAAGTGAGAGACCAGCTGGGTGGCTGAAGCACATGAGCAATGCAATCAGAAATTGGAAGAAATAAAAATAGTCTCTCATATTTGTTATATTGTTTTATAGGTATGAGACACTTTACAGTGGGTAGTTTGATATTCCTTACAACATTCATTTTTTTAAATTAGATGTTTTTGAGCACCTACTTAAGCATTGTATAAGGTTTTGATGAACAAAATGAACATCGTTCCTACCCTTATGGGAAAATAGATATTAAAGTCAACAAACCAAGATAATATTGTGAATTGGATACATGCAGTCGAGGGAAAAATACAGGCTCAATGGGAAAAAATAATGGGGTCAAGGTGGTCAGCAAATGCCTGTCTGTGGAAATGACTTGAAGGTGAAGAAGGGGCCAGTTTTTCACAAAGTGCAGGAAGAGTGTTGTAGGCAGAGAGAACCTAAGAACCTCAGGTGGGGAGGACACTGGCATGTGCTGCTCAAGTGAGGTGGGCGAGGAGGAGGGTGGGCAGAAACGACGTGAAGACCAGGGTGGCTCATGCAGGACCCATTAGGATGTGGTCAAGATTTTGGGTTTTATCTGAAGTCTAGTGGAAAGCTGCTGCGGGATTTTACTCAGAAGAATGACATGATCCATTTACACATTTAAAAGATTACTCTGCTGGGTGGAGGGTAGATTGGCAGGAGGCCCAGGGAGGGTCTCAGCAGGGACATGACGTTGGCCCAGACTTGGTGATGAAGAAAATGGGCCATAGTCTGTGATTGGTAGGCAGGAACTACCCCTACTTTCTGGGTAAGAGAAACAGATTCAGCCCTAGCCGGTTTTGCTCAGTGGATAGAGTGTCAGCCTGTGGACTGAAGGGTCCCGGGTTCGATTCCAGTCAAGGGCACATGCCTGGGGTTGCGGGCTTGATCCCCAGTAGGGGGCGTGTGGAAGGCAGCCGATCAATGATTCTCTCTCATCATTGATGTTTCCATCTCTCCCTCTCCCTTCCTCTCTGGAATCAATAACAATATATTTTTTAAAAGAGAGAGAAAGAGATTCAGAGGTCAGGACATGGAAGCAGTGCAATTATACAACAACTCCGAGCTGTTCTGATAAATTACTAAAGTGCCTAAGTCCACTCGCACTACAACTGCCAGGTCATCACACAGATCCCTGTAGTGAAGGTGGGAGGGAGGCCAGGAAGGAGGACACCTTCATGTTCCTCAAGGTCACACAGCTATTAAGAGGTACAGGTGGGAAGAATACCATGGTCCTCTGCTTTGGGGCCAAGGTTCCTTCCAGGATAGTCTATGGGGCTTAGAAAGAGGAGGGTAAGCCAGGGAGAGAGAGCGGGTTTCTCTGGGCTAGGAGAGTCTCTCTACTCCACAGAGACTCCAAGTGCCCCAAGTACTGCATCGAGCTGAGCGCCCAGCCTGTGGGGCTTGTCCGGGTCCACAAGGTCCTGGTGGTGGGCAGCAACCAAGACAGCCTGCATGGCTTCACCCACAAGGTATGGCCTCCGGGCAAGCACCCACCCCCACCCCTCCATGCATGTCTCCCAGGTCCCCTTCCCAGCAATTCTAGCCACCCCCTCTGTCCATTCTAACCCCTAAGACCCCTGCAGACACCTGGCTATTCCCTCCCAGGGTAAGAGGCTGTGGACGGTGCAGATGCCTGCAGCCATCCTGACCATGAACCTCCTGGAGCAGCATTCCCGGGGCCTGCAGGCCGTCATGGCCGGGCTAGCCAATGGAGAGGTCCGCATTTACCATGACAAGACCCTGCTCAATGTCATCCGCACCCCGGTGAGCCCTGATTCCTTGCCTCACTCCCACCTCGAGGGCAGCTTAGCTGCCTCCTGATTCCAGTCTATCCACTGCCCTTGACTTTGAATGCATTTCAAAAACATTTGTTCAAAAACATTTGTTGAGCACTTCATATGCACAACTCATTGTATTGAGGGTATAAAACAATGCTAGACCCTTGCCTTCAGGGAGCTTAGTATCCAAGGTGACAGCCAGCCAAAGACAACTGATTCAAATAAAAGGCAGACAGACGCCAAGTGCTGAAAAAGCAGAGCAGGCTGAGTATCGGCGGTAGACAAATGGGGATGGAACTCAGGGATGAGAGGCGCGCGTGCTCTTGGTTAGGGAAGCCAGGGAGTTTGATGAATTGGGAACAGAGTTTTTCCAACACTAAGTTGTGAGTCATTAAATCAGTTTAATGGGTCACAACCAGCAACATCAAATCCAGTGTATATCACAAGTGGAACTTGTGTGTGTGTGAATGTGTAAGGTGTCCTGTGCCACAATAGAAGATTTGAGGGCAGGTGTTGTGTGGGTTGGGAGAAGGTAAAGAGTAAAGAGTTGACAGAAAAGGTGGGCTAGAGTCCCATGTGGAAGGGGGGCAGGGAGAACAAGAGCCATGGGGGGTTTTCTAGAAGAGAGTCAACATGATCATGTTGGTTTTGAGAGGCAGCAGAGGCAGCTGTGAAGGACAGACAGGGAGAAAGACTGTCTGGGAGCCTGTTAGGAAGCTGACCCCACAAGCCCAGGGATGTTTAGTCTGGAACGATAGCCGTGGCGGAGAGGCGGAGGGAGATGAGAACAGAGGAGCTATTTCAGAGGCAGCACTGCCCAGGCCTCGCCTCCCATCTCACCTGTTATGGCATATCTGGGGACCCCCAACCTTACCCCTCTCCCGCAGTCTTGCTCTCCTCTCCAAGATATTTTCCTAAATAAACTCGAGTGTCTGCACCGTAGGATGCAGTGACCAGCCTTTGCTTTGGCCGCTTCGGGCGGGAAGATAACACCCTCATCATGACTACGCGAGGTGAGGGGCGTCGGACCTGGCAAGGGGGTTCGAGTTGGGAATGAAGGGAACAGGCCGGATCCTGGGAAGGAGAGAAGGTGGACGTGAGGCACGGGAGGACATGGGTGTGGAAAGCAAGGCTGGCAGACACAGGGGACAGCTCCTCAGCGGTTTGACTTGGTGACCTCAGGGCCAAGCCCTGGGCTGGATTGTGTCTCCGGTTCACCCAGCATCCCCAGCGCCTGCCACACCAGGAACATCAAAGTGCTCCACAAGTAACTGAAATGAATGAAATAACTAATGGTAGGAGGCTGTTTAGACAGACTTCACCCCTTCCAGAAACGCAGTCTCAGCAGCAAGGCAGACATGTACAGAGATGAGGCGGATGGTTTGGGGAAGAGAGATTGGAATGTAGTGTGACTGGGGAGGGAGGTCACGTCTGTTTCTGGCTGTCCACTTCCCTAGGTGGTGGCCTGATCATCAAGATCCTGAAGCGCACAGCAGTGTTTGTGGAGGGGGGAGGTGAGCTGGGCCCCCCACCAGCCCAGGCCACAAAACTCAGCGTGCCTCGAAAGACTCGGCTTTATGTGGACCAGACGCTGCGAGAGCGGGAGGCCGGCACCGGTGAGACTCAGGCCAGACTCTTCCTCTTCCTCTGCTGCTCTGAATTCAAGCAGCATCAGCCAGGGAGCTGTGGGTGTGGGGCAGGGAGGCCGAGTGGCCAGAGGGAGGCTGGAAAGGCCGTCGGAGCCTGCTTCGAAAGGGCCTGGAACGCAAAGCTAAGATGTTTTTGTTTAAGTTACTGGGAGCTGGGAAAGATGTGAAGCAGAAAAATGCAGTAACTCAACCAGCTCTGCCTTAACAAGGGATCTGGCTTGCAGTTTAAAGGTAAATTAGAGGATAAAGAAAATAACTAACAGGCTATTGTAGCCTAGAGAACCCAAGAAAAGCAATTGGTATATTAAAGAAATAATTAGGAAGTTCTCAAAGGTGACCAAGTGTAAAATATTCAGAAATCAATAGCTTTTGTGTATACCAACAATAACCAGTTAGAAAATATGATGGAAAGTTTCCATCCAATGGCAAGGAAATCTCTAGAAACAAACTGAAGAAGACGTACAAAATCCAATGAAGGAGATTATAAAACTGCTCTCATGAACATCAGAGGCCACATGAATGACGAGATTTACCAAGTCTCAGGGTGGCAAGTCCTAAGGTAAGGCTGTGGATTAATGAATAGCTCCCAGAATTAATCTAGAGACCTAGCGAAGTAACAGCGCAACCCCCCTGGGATTTGTTTTGAGGACCTGACCAAATGATTCTAACCGTAACTCTGAGAAATTTGGAGACAGTGGGAACGAGGGGACTTAGCCGATCACTAAAGCTGTAGGAATTCACAGCTGTGATACCAATAGGGGAATTGATACCGATCAATGGCACATTTAGGAAGTCCAGAAACAGGCCCTTGTTTATGTGGAAAGTTAGTGTACGTTAAAGGTATTATTTCAAATTAGTGGGGAAAGAAGACACTGTCCACAAAATGTAATTAGAACAACTTGCTTCTAGAAAAAAAATTTAGAACTCTACCTCATAGCAAACACAATATTCTGGGTAAATTAAAAATAAAACTGTTAAAGTACGAAAGGAAAAGGAAAGATTGCTAGATGAGATAACATAAAGACGTAAAACTTGTGAATGGTAAGAAAGCACCTCATAAAGTCAAGGACAGAGGGCAGACCAAGTGCTAAATCTGGGGAGACCAGAGGAGTACCGCGCGGGTGGGCTCTGGAGCTGGCTCTGAGGACGAGTCATCGATCTTGACAAATGACTAGAGTGAGGGGTGCACCTGGGTGACTTGAGGGGCGGGATGCCGTGGCGGGGGTAGGGAAATGAGCTTGGTGTCTCCATCACTGAATTTGAGGGGTTGATGGTGCGTCCAGGTGCAGGTGACCATTAGGCAGTTAGAAGCAGGAGGCTGCCCCAGGTGCTGAGCTGCTGGAGACGCCCTGTCAAGTGTGGACATGGGCCGGGCCCTGAGGTGGGCACCGAAGACCCAGCAGGCACGCGTTCCTCACAGTTGTTCCTCTTTGGAGTGGCCACGGCCAGGGCCGGACATGGGTTGTCCACGGGAGGAAGACAGAAGAGAAGAGGACCAAGGACAAGACTCCAGGGAACACCAGTGCTTATGGTGGAATGGAAACAGCCAGCAAAGGACCCTGAGATTGTGCGGGCAGCGAGGTGGTAGAACCAGGAAGAGGAAGCAGGAAATAGTCCAGCATCCAGTGTCATCAGAAGGCTGGACTGTTGGCCCTTGGCCCTCCTTTCCCCCACATCTCCAGCCTCTGCAGACCCTGCCCCCTGTACCTTCATCTTGCACTCTCTCTCCGCCCCCTGCACCCACCCCCACCTCCCCTCCCCACCTCCAGCATCAGCCCTCTGTGTGTCTCCTCAGCCATGCACCGGACCTTCCAGACCGACCTCTACCTGCTGCGCCTCCGGGCCGCCCGTGCCTACGTGCAGGCCCTCGAGTCCAGCCTGAGCCCCGTGTCTGCGACAGCCCGGGAGCCACTCAAGCTACACGCTGTGGTGAGCACCCAGGTGTCAGGGGAAGTCAGCAGCCTCAGGGCCAGAGAGGCAGAGATCGGGGTGGGTGGGAGCCCTGCAGCCCCAGAGCCAATTCCAAGTCAACTAGGCCCCATGCCCCTTCTCACCTTCCCACAGGCCCAGGGACCAAGTCTCATGTCCTCCCCTGTGAGAGCGTGCTCACCTTCTCTCTCCTGGGCTGCCTCTGTCCCGCGCTGGCCACACAGGGACACACTCTCCAGCTCCCTCATTCCAGGTTGTGCTCAGAAAAGCCCCAGACTCGGGGCAGGGCACACCACTCCTCGCCTTGGGATTTTTCTTCCCAGGAGCCTGGAGGGAGTCCTCCCGCTATGGTACCGGGAAGAAAGCTGTTCATTCAGTAACTGCCTGGGGCTTGCACCGCAGAGGAGGAGCCCACACACCCAGCACAGTGGCCTTAAGGTCATCGGGCTCCAACCAGCGCTCAGTAGGTCCCTGGGGGGTGCCATCTGTCCCGACTGGGCTTCTGACTTCTCTTTCCCTAAAGAAAGTGGATAGAGAGAGAGAGGAAGAAGCTACAGAGCAACTGAGGGTAAGAGGGAGGAAAATGAAACCATTTCGGCCACCGCAGGATGAGAGGGGAGATGGGCCAAGCTCTAGGAAGAGGGGCAGGGGCAGTGGTGAGGACTCGGGTAGGAGCTGGGACTTGTATCCCGAGGCCAGCTCTGCCTCTGACCCAACTTGCCGAGTGGCCTCTCTCAAACCTCTTCCCGGCCCTGGGCCTTTGCTGATTCCTGTACCCACTGGAGCCAACCTTCTGGGCATTTCGAGAGGCAGATGGACAGTGAGCTAGAACAGCTGGAGGAGGATGACTTGAGGACACTGATGAGGAAGCAGGGCCAGGGCACACCGTGTCCCACGCCCAAGGCCGCTAGGTCTACCCACTCCACCCTCTCCACAGGTTCAAGGCCTGGGCCCCACCTTTAAGCTCACACTGCACCTGCAGAACACCTCGACAGCCCGGCCCATCCTGGGGTTACTGATCTGCTTCCTGTACAACGAGGCGCTCTATGCCCTGCCCAGGGCCTTCTTCAAGGTACTTGACAGCCTCCTGAGACATGGAAAGGTGGGGAGCGGGGGGCTGATTAAATGCCCACAGAGCCTCCACCCGGTCGGAGGTGAGGGCTGGCAGGGGCTGCAGCCACAGGTTAGGCTAGGGCACAACAGGGCCTCCGGGGAGAGCACCCAAGACCTGCCTCAGCTGCCCTACTCCCAGCCTGCGAGAGTCTCAGAGCCACGCAGCCGGGGCTGGAGAACAGCCATGCCAGGCCCTCCTGTGCCTCTCCCAGAAGCCTGTTGGTCCTGCAGCAGCTCTGGGAGCCTGTCTGCCTCAAGGAGAATCTTCTGGAGTGAAGGTCCTGGTTTTCCCCTGGCATGAGGGCTGATTTCCTAACGTCTTTGTCCCCAAACTTAGGTTCCCTTGTTGGTGCCAGGGCTCAGCTACCCCCTGGAGACCTTTGTGGAGAGTGTCAGTGACAAGGGCATCTCAGACATTATCAAGGTAGGTGGCCATTGGCACTGCTTGGGGAGGACAGCGGGAGTGCTGTCCCCAGGTGGCTGCCGGCTGGGGGTGGGTATCTGCACAGTGGCCTGTCATTAGGGCCAGTGCAGACCAGGCCAGGCGTGGCCGAGCAGGGAGGAAGGGCTCCAGGGGGCATGACCCTACTGCCATGAGCACCTCCTCCACAGGTGCTAGTGCTTCGAGAAGGCCAGAGCGCACCCCTGCTGAGTGCCCATATCAACATGCCTGTGAGTGAGGGGCTGGCAGCTGCCTGACCCCTGGACTGGAATTAAAGCCCTTGCGGAATTGGGACCAGGAAGATCCAGGCCCTTTCACTGAGCTGGGCAGAGGCAGTGGCCCAGCCTGCTCCCTGCGCAGCAGGTGCTGGGCCACAGCTTCCCTCTCCCCTCCTAAGCTCCCCGTGCTCACCATCCGACCCCTGGTGACCTACAGCAGCAGGTCAGTGACTACCCAGGAGGTTCAGCGCCTTTCCTCTCAGGAAGGTGCAGGCACCGGCTCACTGGGCTCCTGCTGCTCCTCTGTCCTCCCCACTTTCCTCCAGAAACCACACCCAAGCCCAGAGGAAGAGCTCTGAAGCAGTCAAGGTGAGATGAGGGGCACGGCCGCCTTCTCCTTTGCCGCTCCCCTTGGGCACAGCGCCCATTGCTGCAGCTGGCCCAGCCAGAGGTGGCTGGGGCCTGGCCTGGGACAGTCAGAGACTTTACTGGGTGAGACTGAACCCCCTGTTGCTCCCTGGGGTTCCAGAGGCTTAGCTGCTGCCAGTTCAGCTTGAAGCAAAACATATGCTCTGATCTCCCCTCGTGAGCTGAGCAGAGGACCCCTTCTTTCTATTCGGGGGCCCTGAATATAGCTGTCTCCCTACAGGGGGCTTTTCTGAAATCTTGGGCTCAGTCAAGGTCTCAGGCCTGTGATGCTCCATGCAGAGGGCATAGGGTGCCCGTGCAGGGAGTTTGTGGCCCCAGCCCCAACCAGGTTCCTGAGGACCACACAGGCACTGCTCCTGACAGGATGCTTGGGTCCAGAATGTACACCCAAGAGAGGAAGGCTCAGGTAGACGGAGCAGAGAGGGTGCTGGGGGGAACAGAGAGGCATTTCTGGGGCTCTGGGGAGGTGGCACAGGAGGCAGAAGCCCAGAATTGCCGATCAAGATGCGCTTCAATGCCCTGGAGCCCAGAGCAGCCATGTGAGTGGAAAGTTCAGCTGGCAGTGGCCATAGTGTGAGGGAATTCGCTGGAAAGGCATGGACCAGAGGCTCGAGTGAGTCAGAAGGCTGAACAAAGGCACATGTTCAGCCCACAAGAACCAGAGACCCACAGTCCCAGCCCTCAGTGCCTCACAGCCCTGGCCAGTCTGCCTGGCCACCTCTCAGCATTCTGGGGGGGCCACTCCTGAGACAGGAGCCCCACTCCCGGAGGACCTACATCTTCCCCTCTCTGAGCAGGAGCAGCCCGATGTGTGGCGACAGCTCAGGGTTGTAACCCAATCCCTGGGGACCTTAGTTTCCCTTGTGTAAATGAGGCAGTTTGACCCGATTCCACTCTAAAATGCTATGAGCTCAATAAATAAATAAATAAATAAATAAATAAAATAAAATAAAATGCTATGAGCTCGGCAGCCCCTCTAGAGGAAGTGAGGAGTCGGCTCCAGAAAAGGGGATACTTGACAGGAATAACTGCAGAGACTTTGCCCTGAGGCCGAGGGCCCCAAGCTGACAGCCACTGCTGGGCAACAGCCTCTGTGCCCAAGACACAGAGAGGGACTGGGGTGACAGCCACAGCCACCCCCTCTCCCCCTGAGGAATGCATTCAGTTAACCAGTTAACTGCCACGATATTTTGAATTTAATTAAGAAAGGTCCGCCGCTTGCATCTATAGGCGCTATGGTGTACAAATGGTTAAGAGAAGCAAGCGGTCTAGACAAAAAAGAGCCCATCCCCCTCTTCTCTGTACAGTCCACACTCAGACATGGACCAATTGGGAGAGGACGGTGAAGGGTTCTGGATCAAAGCAACTGATGCGCAGGGGGAACACATAGGAGGTTTCACCTGGAAATGGACAGACAGGGAGAGGGCGTTGCGGGCACAGCAGGGTCACTCTCAGAGGCTTAGCTTAACCTGAAGAGCTTTCTCAGGGAGCTTATCCGACAAGGAAGCGCCTGCCCTAGAACCCCTAGAACGTGTAGCCCCTTGTCACTGGCGCTGTGTCCTCCGGGCTGGGCTCTCACTGCTCAGGTGGCTGTGTTGAACCAGGTGACCTTACAGTCCCTCTCACCCCAGTCAAGTGATGAACTGTGTGAACTCAGAACAAAAAGGTCTGCTCTGGGTTCTCATAGCTATTCATGATGAAAGCGGAGAAACTGCTCCTAGGCCCAGCAACCAACGTGAGTTTATATGATGGACTACCATGTGCTGTTACTAAAAACACATGAACTGCGGTGATGTGTAAATGAAGCAGGAAGCAGTGCGCGGGACCCAGGGCCTCACTAGTCAGGACTCCAGGAAGTTGTGTACATTAAGGAGGAGAGTTGGTGCCTGTAAAAAGAATATTTATCTAAAAACATGGACCTACTTAGTACTATGGAATTAGACCATAAGAAGAGCGTCTCCCCACCCCAGCACTGCTCCCCTGCTAGTCACTTGCAGTTATCTTAGCTATTTATTTTTGTAACATGCTTACACTGGTCTTGTTCGATTTGTCAATCTCAGACACTATCTGTTGGCTCCCTTTCCTAACAGATGAGGGACACCATCCCTTCCTTGTCTTTCCAGTTTGTAGGTGAATCAATATTCAGTTTGGATTACAATTTATATTATGTGAAAATTATTCACTGTGAACCAAGAGTTGGGCTATAATTAAATTACCTTTTGAGTACCGGTACCTTTTGTTTTTTCATGGAATTAATAATTACCCTGTTTTTTCCCTTTGCTTAGTTTTCTGTGCTAATTCTCCCCCTGCTGGGTCTGACCGTTCCTTTTTACTGAACACTTGCCTCCATCCGGGGGCAGGGAGGCTGGAGGGCTCCAGAGCTGCTGCAGAGCACGTCTCCCGGTTCCCTTTGCCGTGCCCTGGGCCAGCACCCAATTCCTGGGCCCCGTGTCTTCCTCCTCCATCATTCTGTACCTTCATCTGGTGAAGCATATCCACAGGTACTTTCTTTAAAAAGCCACTAGAGTTAACATTTTTAAGGCACTATTTGTCTGAAATTTTCTTTTTAAAAAATATCTTTTTATTGATTTTGGAGAGGGAGAAATAGAAATATCAATGATGAGAGAGAATCATTGATTTGCTGCCTCCTGCCCCACCCCCACCCCCCGGGGATTGAGCCCCCAACCTGGGCATGTACCCTGACTGGGAATTGAACCATGACCTCCTGGTTCATAGGTCAATACTCAACCACTGAGCCACGCCAGCCAGGCTGAAATTTTCTTTATTCAATTCATACATATATGTGATAGTTTGGGTCATAAAATTTGAAGTTGAGAATCATTTTCATGCAAGAACATCATTTTTAGGCAGTGCTCCCATTAATTTTTATTTTTGTAATGCTGTTGAGAAGTCCCATGCTCCGTTTGCTCCTGACCTCCTCTCTCTGAGGCTCTGAAATGTCAGGACACACCTTACTCTGTGTCATTATTTATTGTGCTGTGGGTAGAGATGTGCATCCTTCAGTTCTGGAAAATTCCCTCCCATTTTCTCTGTTCTCTCTCGAATTCTGATCAGGCCCAGCATCTGTTAAATCCAGAGAGAACAGGATTGATCCTCTGATTTTCTTCTCTCTTCTCTTACTGTCTTTTCTGTTTTTGAGAAATTTTTATCTTCCAGCTCTTCACTGAAATTATTTTTAAAATGCTATTATTTTCTCAACTCTTTTTGTTCTCTGTTCAATCTTTGATTGTGGTGTCTTTTCAAGGAGCTCAACAACACCATGAATCAACTGGATATAACTGACATCTCTAGACTGCTTCCACTGAGCAGAACACACATTTTCCTGAAGTTCACATGGACATTCACCAAGAGAGACCACATTCTGAGCCATAGAAAACACATTCACAAACTTAAAAGAATGAAATCATACAATGTCTGCTATCAGATCAAATGGAATTAACTGGAAAATTCAATTTCATGCAGATGTTGATTTCCCCAAAACTGATCTATAGATTCAGTGGGTTCCATTCACAATCTCAAAGAGGTTTGTACTGTTGGAACTTGATAAGCTGATTCTAAAATCTACATGAAGCACAAGGACCAAGAATAGATCATAGGGGATCATACACAGGGGGGAAAAATAGAAAAATAAATTGTGGTATATTCAAAGGGTCACCATACAGCAAGGAGAAGGCATGCCCTACAACTGCACACATTTAGACAAATCTCAGAAACAATGAGTGAAAAAGCAAGTCACAGAAGAATAAACATGGTACAGTTCCATTTAGATAAAATTCAAAACATGCAAAACCAATACAAATGTAATAAAATTACAAAGCAAAGCCAGAGAGTGATTAAGACAGTAGTGTGTCCTCTACCAGGGAGGGGCACCGTAGGGACGTCAAAGGAAATGGTATCCATTTCTTAAGTTGGGTGGGAGCATGTTGTTTCTCTTTATAAATATTTTCTTGCATCTCCTTTTTAACTAAAAAAAACCTCACACAAAAACACACTAAAAAGATACTCTGGAGGAGGGGTAAACAGAGGAGGGAACAGGTGGTTTGCAGTGCCCATGTCACAGGAGAGCACCTCCTAAGCAGCATCTGTAGACGTTCTCTTCACCCCATTTTTGGTCCTGCCTCTCATCCCTATTCTCTCCCATGCCCCTGAGACATAAAGCTTCTCAAACAGCCCCTCTCCCACCCCAGAAGGGTGGCTGCTTGATTGTCGGGGGTGGGGTGGGCACTGGGGGAGAGGCACCCTAGCTGCTCCTCAGACTGGGTCAACCCCTCCTGTGTCAGCCCCAGGCCTTGCCTTCCACGCTGCTCATGGAATTCCTGAGCATCTGCAGGTTCTGGGAGGCAACTTGGCTGCCTCTTGGCCCCTCCCTCTGGGAACACAATTTCATTCTCTACTTCTCTGCCAAGAGAGTAAATGAACCTCCACTCACTTTCCATCTTTTAAAACTCCATGCTCTCTGCTCTACTGCTGTCTCCTTCCTATTTTCTTTCTCCTTGTAAACATATATTTTTTCTTTACTATCATTTCAGATTTGAAGAGGAAAGAGGTACATTGATGTGCTTAAAACCTGCCACACTTAACTAGTTACTAGTTTTAAATGAAAAGGTTTAGTAAGTAGCTCCTGAACAGTCCCAAGAGGAGTGTAGCCCTGTCAGCACCACCTGTCACAGATGCTTGAAGGAGAAAGCACAAAGATCTGGGTTCAAATCCTGATTCCTCCATTTACTACCCCATGAACTTATCACATCAACTCTCAGAGCCTTAAGTTTTCTACCCACATAATTGCTATTCAGTGTATCAGGTTAGCTAGAGAGAGGTTCAATGAAATTGTTGATGTGGGAATGCTTCTAACTCTAAAGCAATGAACCTGGGAAAATATTTTAGACGTGCCCTAGCCAGTTTGGCTCAGTGGATAGAGCATCAGCCTGCGGACTGAAGGGTCCTGGGTTTGATCCTGGCCAAGGGCACACACCTCAAGTTGCAGGCTCCTCCTCGGCCTGGGCCCTGGTTGGGGCGCGTGCAGGAGGCAATTAATCAGTGTGTCTCTCACATCGATGTTTCTCTCTCTGTCTCCCACTCTCTAAAAATCAATGGGAAAATATTCTTGGGTGAGGAAAAATAACAGAATTTTAGATGCTCATGCCCTGGATCAATACATGCCACCTTGGCCACTGGTGCTCCCACCCCGACCCCACCATGGCCACAGAGGCAGAGCCCTGGCTCCTCAGGTGTTCAGTGGTTCCCAGACGTGACAATCAGAGGAACCTGAAACAGCAGCCGGGCAACAGTGAGGGACCAGAAACCCATAAAGCTGGAGGGAATCCAAGAATCAAGTGGGTGCTTTATTAATCTGGCAAAGGGGCAGCTAGGTTGGCCAAGCAGCCCCTTGCCAGACCCTCCACTGCACTCGGGGGCCACTGATAGAGGCAGACTCACAGGGCCCACACCCTGGAGACTGAGTCCAAGCTGGGCAGGGGCAAGGCCAAGGATGGGGCTGGAGTTGCTGAAAGCAGACATTAAGTACCAACCTGCCTCTCCTCCTGAGGCCGGGGGTGGGCCTGAAATGAATTATGAGCCCCTTCACCCCTCCTCCCTCCCTGTACAGCTCTGGCTCTTCCTGGAGTCAGGAAGCCACCAGTCCCACATCAGCTGTGGTCTGGAAGGTGATCCCGTCCCCAGGCAACGGGGAGGCCAGAAAGGGCCAGAGCCAGACAAGGATCCAGCGGGGCCCCAGGGCTGCCTGCAAGTTGTGGCAGGGGCCCAGGTCATAAGAGTGCTGGCCCCGCGCCCATTCCCAGGTGGTCTGGCCCCGAAGCAGCAGCATCCCATGGAAGAGCAGCCCAGCCCCACAGAACAGGGCACCCGCCACACACGTGTCGGTCACGA